ATAATATCGCATCTAGTGCGCGAATTTTTTGTAAAACCGTTTCGGCTCAAAAAACCTAAGATGAAAGGTTGCTTTGATATTCTTGTTCCGCTACGAGCGTAAGTATGTCACGTTTGAACAAATACGCGAAAAACATGTCCTTATGTTAAACGAATCAAAACCGTTTCTGAGTATATCAAATATACCTTTACAATGAGATCCTTACAACTACTCACCTGTAGGGTATTTTAATTAAACGCAATCCAATGCTCGCTTTGTTATTCGAGGTGACGAAGAGCATTGTGATGAACTGCAATGGACGTGTAATAAGAGAACGCTTCGATCTCTTGTGTTTATAAGGAAAATACGGACCTCAAATTTCGCCAACCTTTATTTGCATGGTGAGGTAAATTACCGCCATTGATGGTTTCAGGATAAAGATGGCGTCAGGCTTCCACGAAAATGTGTCGCGTGTAGCAAACATTTTTTCTTGAGGATTTATTCCAAATCGTAGAATCAGATACTATCTACGATACATACATACCTACTTACATGTAGTGCAGTATATGTATAAAAGTTTATAAAAGCATGAATATTTGAAAATATTCGATATTAAATGTAAAATCTAAAATATAATCCATATTAAAATTATAGATACGAATCTGTCTGTCTGTCTCGCTTTCACGCCAAAACTACTGAACCGATTTAAATGAAATTTAGTACACAAATAGTCTAGAGCCTGAAAAAGGACAAAGGCTATTTTTAAATTGGAAAAAAATGTTGTAAAGGGTTGAAAGGTTAAAGAAAGACATTTATTTAAGGGCTTCAACGTGAGCGAAGCCGTGGGCGAAAAGCTAGCGTGTTTATATTTTAGATTTATTTTAGATCTTTCTAACTATAGAAAAGCATTAGATAAAATTACACAGTCGTATACGTATGTTCGTTGTCCCAAAAAAGGTTATTTACAGAAAAATCACAGAAACATTTGGAGGATTAAACATATTTTGATCCATTTTCCACTACTAATTAGGCCAAAACAAAAAGAGGACTAACGACAATAAAACAACAAAGCCCTCCGCGCTGGCCGTTTTAAAAATCCCCGGCGAAGGATATGTGGGAATTACGTAATTCTAATTACGGCAAAAACTCGCTTTGCGTTGTTAATGGCGGGTTTTTGTTCGGGGTCTGGACGCGCGAGGCAAATTTGCGATTTGGTTTCACTGGGCGCTGTAAGTATTTATACATCAAAAGCTTAGCACAACCGACACCAATATGTAAACAAGAAAGGTGAAAGCAGAAAGCCTAGCTGCATATGACAAGATATAGAAGAGGAATGGTTTTTTTCTCGCTCAAAGGTTAAGCATAACTAGTCATAGCCACTATGTAAGCAAGAAAGCTGAATATCCTAGACTTATCGCTGCTGGTGACAAGATATAGAAGAGGGCTTGTTCTTTTCTCACTCAGAGGTTAAGCATAACTAATCATAACCAATATGTAAACAAGGAAGTTGAATATCCTAGACTTATCACCTCTGGTGATACGATATAGAATAGGGATGGCTCTTTTTTCACTCAAAGGTTAAGCATAACTATTCAGCGACGAAATATAGCTAGCGTTCTTGGCACCATGTCGCGTAGACTAGGTTGCTTATATAACATGTTATTTAAAATTATATAAATTTTTTGTCTATATTTCTTTTATTTCTCACATTTCAAGTGTATTCGATTCCCACCGGGACGAAAAACTTTTCGTCCTTTTTTCTAAAAATTTTAATGCTTCATCTTAAGTGCAAAGATTAGCACTATACAAACTTATAAATTATATATAGCAATGTGGTAACTGCGGTAGGGCCATGCAACAATGTTCGCTGTTGCACGAATGGGCAGGTCCATCCGGATTAGTACCACGACCTCACAAACGACCAGCGTGAAGTAGAAGTGTTACAATTCTGCGTTTCGTCTGATGAGTAAGGTAGCCGGGGCCCACTTTATCAAAAGGTGGCAACGCCAGGCCATTTTCATTAAAAAATATAGCAATGGATTGAACGAATGAATATTTTTTTTCTTTTTTTTTTCAAAAAACAGAACACTTACGTATATTTATGAAATTTATGGTCCTATATAATAATATGTGAAGTCTGCCAGTCCGCAGTGCTGTCGCATGGAGCTCTAATACCCTCTGCATAGATTAGGCCTTTGCCTAGGGCTGGGACATATATAGGTTGTTACTATTAACAATAAATGTAGTTTAGCATTACGTTATTTATGTAGCTATTATTGTTAGTAATAACAATAAATTTAATTAGGATTTTTTAATTTTTTTTTATTTTATTTGGTACATAGAACAGCAAACAGTACAATAACTAATAATGGCTTAGCAATAAACTTAATAATGGCAACTAATACATTAAAAGGCAAGCTTAGATATCACTAAACAATATTAACTTATAACTTATAAATTTAAAAACAAAAGGGAAAGGGAAAAACTATTGAAAAGTAACTAAATAAAAGAGTAAAAATAATAAGAAAAATAAAATATACCAATGGAATATATCTACTGCTACAATATATAATTTCCGATAAATTATATATTGTAGCAGTAGAGTACAAAGAAACAACATCGTATTACGTACATGCAGACATAGATACAGGTGAGAGCATAACGCGTGAAAGGGGGGCGAGCGCCCGACGGCCGCGTGGTATCAATCGCGAACAGCCCCGAAACAAGTGAGCAATCGAGAGCATCCGAAAGAGTGCGATCACAAAACTGTTTATCCCGATACAGTGAATAAACACCGCTTGTTATAGTTCGTTAGTCTTACATTATCGGGCGCGGCCTGTAATTGGTACACGCTCCTATAGCAGACTGGGGTTGATTTACACCCGACGATTCGCGGATTACTTACAGTTTGTTAAATAGACGATGATACGCGGGACATTGACATTGATAAACTAAAGTGACATGACGAAATGAAGTACCACATTGTGTCACGTACATTTTTTGTTTAAAAACAACGGAACTTCATATAAGAGATCCATGTTTGCATGTCAATGCCAATGTCCCGCGTATCAACCTATATTTTACAGACTGTATGTAGTACAGGGCGTGATCCATTCATTCAATTTACGTTTGCCCGGCTCTTACTAACTCCACGATCTCTTTACACTCTAATTGGTAGGTCAAATCGTATCAGTTCACTTGTACTTTTTTATGCGAGGAGGCAAACGAGCTAGTTGTTAACCAGAAGTTAAGTTATGACCGCCGCCCATGGACATTTGCAACACCCGTAGGGTTGCAGATGCGTTGCCGCCTTTTAACGAAGTGTGCTTCGGCTACCTCACTCACACGACGAAACGCAGAAGTATATCGCTTCCACTGCACGCCTTCACGTCTTCTGTGAGGTAGTGTTACGCACCCGGACGGAGCTGCCCATTCGTGCAACAGTTCGCTGTTGCGGTGCCCTATCAATAAAACCCCAATAATGTTTCTTAAATTTAAATAAAAATACATATATAAAAATATATATAACATAAAAATACAACAGTCGAAAATAAAACCTCCTATTATTTTGAAGCCGGTTAAAAAAGGGAGAAGATATTCACAAAAGTAGGCCTTGTCAGTTTCTTATTGTTGATTTATGTAATAAATCAAATACATTTTTGGTGGTCAAAATAAATAAAAATTAAAATGTTACATGTAAAAATCGATCAATGTTTCAGGACGCAAACACTTATTTAAAACTAGCTGCTGCCCGCGACTACGTCTGCGTAGAATAGGCTGAAGACGTAACATTAAGACAGAAAGACAGATATACATAAAATATGTATATATGTATTATAGCCCATGTCTTAATCTGATGTATAAGCTATATTATTGTAAAGTTTCTTTAAAATCTATTCAGTAGTTTTTGCGTGAAAGAGTAACAAACATCCATCCATACATACAAACTTTCGCCTTTTTAATATTAAGTAAGGATAAGTAAGGATGTCGAAAAGGCGGGATAAGTGCAGGTTGGCGGATTTTATGGATGACTATACTAGAATATATCAGATCGTGACGTAGTCGTTACGTGTAGACAGAGAGGACCTTTTCATCCGAATCCCTCTTTCATGGTAGCTCGTTAAGACACATTCATGTTTGCTCGTGTTGCGTATATTTTTGTGTTCGTCGCGTGGTTCGTCTATTACGGTTCCATATATGTGCGAACTGCGATCATTATATCGATACGGAGAGATCTGTGAATGGCCGGTCAATAGAAAGGGTAGAATAATGCAGTGCAGACGTAAACGGAACTTTATAAAGGAAAAGAAGTCACACACTTTATGTTTCTCATATTTACGTGAATACTTTAAATTGCTAATAGTATTTATTACCAATTTGATCGCGTTTAATTTTTTTTTATCCTCGAAGTTTCCACATTATTTTAGTAGCATCGTCCAAAAAAAGTAAACGGTTTTATTTAACGTTACTATTTATCAAATATCCAAAGAAAATGTTTTGTAAGTGGTACTTTTGTTTGTATAAGATACATCCGTATTCCCAGGTCCAATGAAATGAATATGGGATCTTAATCTAACCAAATGAAAAATCATTTCAATTTTTTTTATGTGAGAAAATGGCAAACGGGCTAGCGGTTCACCTGATGTTAAATGATAACCACATCCATGGCCCATGGACATATGCAACACACGAAGGGTGTCAAATGCGTTGCCACCTTTAAATAAAGTGGGCCCCGGCTATCTCATTCACCAGACGAAACGCAGAAGTGTAACACTCCTACTGTACGCCGTCCTTTTACATTACATGACGGAGTTCTGAGGTAAAAAACCTAAAAGAAAATATTCCTCCCCTTTTTCGAAGTCGGCTGGAAAAATTAAGCACGTAATCCCACTTCAGCCATTCCCGCATAATCGACAACATCGAACGACAAGAAAACGATTCCCGCCATAATTTCCACTCGATTTCGGCAATTAACAACAAACACCGTAGACCGCAGCTCGGGGGTGAAGTTAGGCCATTTACGGTAGGCCTGCGGCGCGCCGTTCCGGGGCACGTCGAGGACTCGCCCACTTCGACGGCAGGGGGGCGGGGGAGGCCACGGTATACCGGGCGCCAATTAGGAATCCGCTCACGTCTCCCGGGGAGCGGAAGTGTCCCCAGTAGAGGCCTGCTCTGGGCGAGCGACGAAGCACCTGACGCACAACACAATCGCATTCGAATATCGAAATAGCTCCGCACGTAGCACTGGCGTATCGGGCTTAAATTCTTAATAGCATCGCCCAAGTCGTCCGAATGCAGCCGATTGTGTTCTTCCGAATATTATTTTCAATTTTGATAAGATACAATTTGCTTTACTTTTAATCTAGCGAACCGCCCTGGCTTTGCACTGTTGCAATGTATTATACATATAAACCTTCCTCTTGAATCACTCTATTTAGTAATCATTTTGAACAAAAAAAAACGACTTCAAACAGAAAACTAATAAAACATTGTCAACGCCTATAACATTTATGGATTGCCCTCGATTTCTCTGGGATGCCATCATCAAAACTTGGTTTCCTTATCATGGTACCACCCTTAGGATAACTTCTTTCCAACAAAAAAAATTCATTAAAATCGGTTCATAAATGACGAAGTCATCCCCGAACACACATAAAAAGAAAAAATATATATACGGTTGAATTGAGAAACCACCTTTTTTGAAGTCGGTAAAAAAACCGCATCAAGATCCGTTGCCTAGTTTTAAAGATCTAAGTATACATAGGGACAGACTTACAGCGGGTCGACTTTGTTTTATACTGTGTAGTGTAGTGATATCTTACGACACACGCATGTTTATTTAGCTCGAATATATTGAAATAAAAGCTAGCGCCTGGACAGCTCTATCTATTAAATTACTAGGTACTATTTTATGTACTATGAGGATAGTACATTAAACAGGTATTATTGAAGATGATGTTGGTCGCCTTGCAACCAACCAATTTACTGTCATAATTTTTCCAAAGGAAGTTTTGCTTCAATAAGGAATGACAGCTTTTTGCATTGGTATAGATTTTCTTATCGTGTGTCTTTCTTCTGCAATGTTTGTCGATATATACATAAATAAAAGTTTTTCATTCTATATTTTCTACGTTTTTTTTTATTACATGTAACATTTCGGGATAATTACACAAAATTGGTCTTAATAAGATTAATTGAGCAATTATGTTTAGCATAATTTCGTTCGCGGTTATAAAATGTTTATTTTATAATAAGCATATAATTTAATGAGCTATTATTTGAGCCAACACCAGTATTTGCAAATTGATATGCTGTTTGCAAATTGTGTGTAATTAGAAACATAATTACGAATGAATTGGATCACATACCTAAACACTATTTGCTTTCGTGTTGAGTTTATGTATGTCGTCACATAGTTTATTAAAAATATTTTATTTATTTACTAAAATCTCAATGCTATGTTGTGTCGTAGGAAAATCTTTAAGGAGGTTCTATTTTATTTCAACAATATCTGTAATTGTCACTAAATTATTTATTGAATTAACCTAGTTGTTTCAGTTAACTTCTTTTACTTGAAGACCTGGGGGCAAACTTTTCTTATATTTTTCTTTTTTTTTATATGAGACTAGCGACCCCGGCTTCGCGCGGGTGCAACATAGAAACCTTCCTCTTGAATCACTCTACTAACCTAACCTAACCTAAAAATAATCTCTAGTAAAAAACGTAGGATTACACAACATTTTAATAAAGTGGGCCCCGGCTACCTAAGTCCCCAGACGAAACGCAGAAGTGTAATACTTCTACTTCACGCCGGTCTTCTTTGAGGTCGCGGTAATTCCCGAGATAGACCTGCCCTTTCGTGCAACAGCCGGAACTGCTGCGTGGCCCTACCACTGTTTAGGCCTTCTTTTCTTCTCTTCTTCTTTTTCCTTTTCCGTGATGAAGAGAGTGCACAATAAACGGAAGCAGCGCACCTTGAACTCCACATTGTCTCTTTTTTCTCTATTTTTACGGATTTGTAGCCATTTGTAGCCGTGATAGCTCAGTGTCCGGGCGCTCGCCTTTCATTCAATATAATCGAGAAACCCGAGTTCCCCGATCCCCGGTGCCAGCACCAATGAAATCGTTAATTTTAAGTGCTGATTTATCACGTGCTCGGTGAAGGAAAACATCGTGACGAAACCTGCATACTTTCGAAACAATAATAAAAAAAATAATACGAAAATATGTGAAGTCCGCCAATCCGCAGTCGGGTCGCGTGGTGGACTATGCCCTGATCTCTTTTCAGAGGAGGCTATTACCCAACAGTGGGACATTTATTATAGGCTGTTACTTTAGTTTTTTACTACTTACATATTTGGCGTCGTTACGTATTTCACGTGGCATGTTGAACTCATTATCTTGCAAAGCTTTTCAAAAATCTGTATATTCTGTATATTTAAAACCCAATTGTCAATGTGTTAGAATTTCTATGTAAAATACCAGGTGTCGGCTATGCTGCTAAACAGAGTTTGGGTTTAAAAAAAATCGTCAGTAATGTTTCCCTAAACCTGCTTTGAAGACTATGTGATACTTTCAAGAAGACGGAAGTTCTGATACAAGAGTTTAAGCATAAGTAATAAGCCATTTTGCTTTTGATACACAATATTAAGTCGGCTAGTATGTGACATTTGTATTCGTTGATTTGACTGCCGAATAAAGAATTCGCGAAAGGCTAGCGTATTCCTCACAAGAACTTTGGGTTCTACGGAACACATTTTAGGGTCCTAGGTTCCAGAACACGCTGAGCGATATCAGTTTGGATGATACAAAGTCGCGATAACGCCAGGCCGAAGCGAGCTTTATTGTACACGACATATCGTCGGCTGACTGTTACACCGTCCATCACGACTGATCCGTCAATTTACTATAAGCGGAGACTTTTAGATTTTTAGGGTTCCGTTAGTAACCGTTCGATTCCACAGCTGATTTCTAAACTGCGAATTCGTTAACTGTACTTTATTTGACTTTATAGCGACTCCTGTTCGCTTGCCAGTTACATATTTTTTGTCAAAAGAATCAATAAAATAATTATAAAATAAAAGCTTACGAGTTTGAAAAGTCAAAACTGAACATGTTTATACAATTTTTACAATTAACTGCAGTTACACTCGCCATATTTTGACAAAGTGAGCCCCGGTTACCTCAATCAACAGACTAATTCACTCAAGAAACCTCAGTTCGATCCCCGGTGCCAGCACCAATGAAATTTTTAATTTTAAGTACTGACATATCACTTGTACGGCGGTAAAGGAAAACATCGTGAGGAAGCATGCATATTTTCAAAATAATAACAAAATAATATATATAGAAAATATGTGAAGTCGGCCAATCCGCAGTGGTCATGTAGTAGACTATGATACCCTTTTTACAGAAGAGGCCCTTTCCCATCAATGGGATATGTATGGACAGTTATTTTACAATATGTGCGAGATCCGCATGAATAGAATTCCAACAAATATTCTACTGAACGGACGATTTAACATCAATAATTCGAACGATAGATGTCGCCATTGCATCGCATTGCATATGAAATTCAATTTTTTATAGTCCTAATCTCTGAACTTAATACGAAACATTAAAATTTGTAGAAAGACGATATTTCAAATTGTGAATGTCGTGAAATAAAATATAAAAATTGATGCGCCAAGCCTTGCTTAAAATGCGAAAAAGCAAGGTTGCAAAGTTGCAATCAGCCGTTTAGCTTAGTGATTAAAGCGTCTGGTCACGAATACATGTCACGATACAGGTCACGATAACATGCGACATGGGTTCGATTCCCACAGCGCGGCGGTGAAAAAGTATTCGCCCTTTTTTATACAAATTTTAAAAAGTTTAAAGTTTTGCCTTGTGTGCAAATATCAGCAACATAACAATTTTAATGCCTACCGTTTCATAAGAACTTCAAATACACTAAATAGTTACATTTCGCCATACGGAACCAATCCCTCCTTAAACGTGTCTCCCATTTATGCGCCATAAGTCATTTAAAGCCCAGTTTTTCATCAAAATAAATTAAACGGGCCGCTGTTTGAATGATAGCCGCTTGAAGTCGCCAACTTCCTATAGCTTTAACACGTAAGAATACAGGGATTAGGAACGGATGAGTGATAACCACAGCCTCTGGACATTTGCTAATTACAGAAGCATTATAAAGTGGACCGCGGTACCTCACTCAACAGACGAAACGCGTAAGTACATTATACTTTCACTTTACGCCGGTCTTCTGTGAGGTCGTGGTACTTACCTGTACGGATCTGCCCATTCGTGCAACAGAGAAAACTTTTACGTGATCTTACCACAGTAAGGTACAACACAGGATGGTAAGCTTATGGAAATAATATACAAGTACGAAAATGCTTTTTGATGGCGGCTAGAACTCTCCGTCCTATTACCGTCTATCTAATATTGCGAACAAACATAAAAAATAGACAACCTCCTACATAAATTACAACGTGAGGTCGTGTTAAATCAGTATAAAATTTACGTTCATTGCTTATAGTATATTTTACTCGTTCTCTCATTAATGACGTAACGCCGCCGATTTTATGAGTGATCAATACTATGGCATCCTCGTTAACTTGGAATCATCCAGCTCCCCCTAAATCAATCAGCATACCTGCCCATTCGTGCAACAGCCGAAGCTGATGCGTGGCCCTACCACAGTTTGGCGCGTAAGCCCATTATGACGCATGTAAAGCCCATAAGCAAATTGACGCATATACAGCGTGTCGTTACCATCGCGACAATAAATGAACACACGTCTAACGCTACTTGCCAATAATCATAAAAAAATATTAACGTTAAACAAAATCCACAATTAAAAAAATTTTTTTTTGAAACAATCTAATTAAGTAAAAAGAGAAACAAAATTTGTAACACCTATACAACTACAACTGACTGATTCACACATTCCGAGACTTTTTCATTCCTTGTCACAGCTTCGCATTACAAGCCTCTCCTTCTAACAGTATGTTTTGTCTCTTTGAAATTCATTCAACCCATTCATATGCTTTGTGACCTTTTCAAATGAACTTTACGTTACAGTGTTACGTAAGGCTATTCTAAAATTCTTTGTTTGGAAAATTTATGTTCTATGTATATTATTCTATGTTTAAAGAATGTAAATGTTTAATACAATTTTAAAAAGTTATCCTCTATATGTGCGTTCGTTTATTGTCGCGATTGTAAAGACACGCTGTATAGCGCAGCGCCGTTGTAATTTTGAGTACACTCGAAGTCACTCTCGGAGATACGTTCGAAGACACTCAAAGACACTTGGACATCGAGTGAAACTCGGGAGACACTCGGGGCACACTGCATGACACTGGCGTAGTTGCCATTGGATTTGCCATGAACTCGCATGGAGTCGCGTTGGAGTCGCAATATAAGAGTAATCGTGGGAATGTGTTTTATTATCCTTCTAATACCGAGATTCGTAATATACCGGGGATAGAACAACAACAAAATATCAATACCCTAAATTAAGCATTAGCAACAATGAGACTTGAAATTTAATTTAAAAGCGATGAAACCTACAAGTCATTTTTAGGGTTCTGTTCTCAAGGGGTAAAACGGGACTATTACTAAGACTTCGCTGTCTGTCTGTCTATCTGTCTGTCCGTCTGTCACCAGACTGTATCTCATGAACAGTGATAGATAAACAGTTAAAATTTTCACAGATGATGTATTTCCGTTGCCGCTATAACAACAGATACTAAAAAACAGAATAAATTAAAAAAATATTTATGTGGGGCTCCCTTAAAACAGACATGATTTTTTGCCATTTTTATAAACTAGCTGCTGCCCGCGACTACGTCTGCGTAGAAATAGATATGCATAAAAAATGTATATAAATTATAGCCTATGTGTTATTCTGCTGTAAAAGCTATATTATTGTAAAGTTTCATTAAAATTCATTCAGTAGTATGAAAGAGTAACAAACATCCATCCATACATACAAGCTTTCGCATTTATAATATTGGTAAGGATAATGGTAATCTTCGTGCGCGAATCCGACTCGCTCTTCGCGGGTTTTTGCTAAACTGTCTAAAAAAAGAAAAGTACAGCCTATACATGTCCCACTGCTGGGCAAAGGCCTCCTCTCTACAGAGGGTATCAGGGCATAGTCCACCACGCGGCCCCACTGCGGATTGGCGGACTTCACATATCTTCGAAATATTTTTTTTGTTATTATTTCGAAAATATGCAGGTTTCCTCACGATGTTTTCTTTCACCGCGGAGCACGTGATAAGTCAGCACTTAAAGTTACAAACTTCATTGGTGCCGGCACCGGGGATCGAACTCAGGCTGCTCGAGTATATTGAATTAAAGGCGAGCGCCCGGACACTGAGCTATCACGGCTCTTCTAAACTGTCTATTTTAGATTAATACCTAAAAATTCAATATCTGTTCCAATATTATACTACTGAGGTCCAATCGATTCGACGCGACGTGTAAAAACGCTAAGGGCATGTGCACACCGCTCCCAACGGGCGGGACCCGTTGCAGATTTTAATCGTGTTAGCGAGGCGTTGGACTAATTCGATTAATCTATCGCGCCCGGTGTGCGGCGCAGCTTACTCTCTAAGCCGGAAGGTATATACCGTTTTCCTATATGCAGCCGTCCACACTAATATACGCAGATTTATTTTATAGAGTATACACGGATTCATTTTGTAAAATACAAGCGGACTGGCATTGTCCTGTATACACGTCTTAAATCCGATAGCAACTTATAAATAATTATTTTTTTAATAATTATTTTTAGTGGACCGTGTAGTGAATCTAAACCATTCTCGAATCCACTTAAACACACACAAAAAATCATCACAGTTGGCGCAGCGGTTTTTTTTTTTGTCAGAAAGGTTCTTCTAATGTTAGTGATAACCGCCGACCTTGCACATTTGCAACACCAGCAAATTGGTCCCCGGCTACCTCACTCGCCAGACGAAACGCAGAAGTTAAACTTCCACTTCGCACAGGTCTTCTGTGAGTCCGGACCTGCCCATCCGTGCACAGGCGAAGACTGTGGCGTGGCACTATGCCTGTGACACAAACACACGCACAGAAGAATTACATATACACGGATAAACAGCTTAATTGTATAGAAAGATGGCGAAGTGCTGATCACACAATTTTTATGGTGAAATTTACGTTACTATTCTAGTCCTTAGGTTGTAATATCCGAAATGTAACAGCCGCTACATCAAATACGAAAGAGTTTTTTTCTCGTAAGACATCCTAACGGATATCTCAAATATTATTTTGGTTTTGATCTGTAGTGTCGCGTCGTTTCATTGAACATTTATAAGAGTAAAATATTTATGACTCCGAGATGCAGTTGC